GTCGTCAACCCAAATTTTTATAGAAGCCCAATGGGCATAGATACAATAATGTAGCCACTAAACACTGGTAGCCCAACACGTGAGAACAAAACGATACAACAAATCTAGAACAATGTTAAGTCTAACAGAGAAGATGAAAACATGTGGCTCAGAAAGATGGACTCAACATCGAAACCTTCGTCCACCGCTTGTTCGTCGTCCTCATAAATTTCCCGGCAACGAAAAGTTTCGATTCACAACCGAAACCGCTGAACCACCGATCGGACAGTTTCTCGTACTGTTGTCTTCTGGACATCCCTTCCTCACTCTGCACACCGATGCTACTCGAACGGAAACTCCAAAACCATCAGAACGAACAACAGAGAAAATCGAAAGAGGAGAATACTAAAATCTTTTACAACGTCAAAGATAATCTAAAAATTAAATAAATAATAATATGATTAACGTGATAACAAGTGATATTTGGTATTTTTACACCTTTTAAAATAATGATTTTTTTTTTTTTATCATTTGCTATCCATAATTTCTCCATATTTGCATCATTTCATATACTTCTTGAGTCTCATTTACCTTTAGACACCATTTAGAGTTTTGGATTTTAGTTTGCATACATTGCATCTTGTTTTTAGTCATTTTCGGATGGTTATGGATTGTAAATTGGATTGATGAGGCTCGAAATTTGATTTCACACTGGATTGTTTCTCATAGAAATTAGATTGTTGTTAGTGAAAATTGGATTTTCTCTGGTGGATATTGGATCGCAGACTGGATTGATAAGTCTGTAGTAACTACAGTGAACAAACTTTTCTATTCTAATGTGACATTATGGATAACAATTCTTATTTTCGCGACAATTTTCTACAATGCTCTACCGAATCCAATATGTTTGACATTATGGTTCTCCATATAACGCACATTCTCTTATTGGATATTTTGGAAGTATCTCGTGCACAAACGTTTTGCAGAATATCTGCTCAAAATATTTGCTCTTATCAAAGCGGTAGTTCATACCTATGTGTTGGTTGATTTGCAATCCCTAGAAAATCAATTTAAAAACATGAACGATGTGTGGTTGAGCGTATTTAGCGTTGATTTAATTGTTCATATATAACCATTCTCGAATTTGCGGAAGACATGGATGACGATATCAGAGTGCTTGGAGCATCCTTCGCCTTAAACTACGATTTGGTAAGGAGATTCAAAGATAGAATTTTGATACTTTGCATTGTGGCTACCTTTAGTGTTTTTACAACGAGTGTAGTAGTGAGGCTATAGTAACCCATCGCCAATATTTTCAAAATGAAGTTAACATATTTGTAGAGAGACCATGGAGATTTTGCTCC